GGGAGGATGTCTGGTGATGGCCTCTTGCTGGCAGAGGCCAGAGGCATCACAGGACATTATATACTGAGAGACAGGGAGCTAGCCAAACTGGTTTTTACAGCACACCCACTCTTGATATACCCATTGATCCATTCATTAATCCTCTTCAAGGTCCCACATGGCCCCACCTCTCAACATCCCATAATGGGAATTCAATTTCAGCGTGAGTTTCAGAGGGAATAAACCATAAGCAAACCACAGAAGTGGCCAAGAGTGTGGGTTCTACAGCTCAACTGACTAGCCTGAAATCCCGGCTTTATTCTCCAACTATTGGTTTTGTGACATTAGATAACTTGCTTAGCCTTTCTGATTCTGATTAACTCCTCACTTATAATGTAGGAAGAGCAATAGTTCTTAATTTCATGGGGTGGTTGTGAACATGACATGAGTTAATAAGTGTAAGACACCTGGCACAGAACCTGAAACATGGTAAGCACTCAGTATACGTTAGCAGTTATCTCCAGGAGTCAGAACAGTGTGATGATTAAGGTAAATTTAGATATTATTATTTTATTTTATCCTGATCCTAGGATAAGAAGAAAGTGGATATGAGCACTCTTTCAACAACTCATTCTCCCCACAGTTCTTTTTATTCCCATTTCCCCCGCCCTCCCCGCCCTGAGAGGTTGGGTGACTTTCCCAGGTTCAAGAAGCTAGTTCAACAGTCAAGCACAACACTCAGATTGCCTAGGACCTTCATCAAGAGTTTATTCCTAGAATGACCCTTTTTCTATCTAATTCTCCCTGCATTTACCTCATTCTTTGTCCTGTGGCAAAATACCTCTCACTGAATCTCAATCTTCTCAGCATAAAACTAGGGGAAGAGGGTGAGGTTATCATAGTCTGGGTAAATGTTGCTAATTGCTTTGACAAACAACCCCCTCATCTCAGCATCTTAACACCAAGGTTTGTGTCTTGCTCAGGGTGCCAGTGCACCGTGGGTCAATGGAGGTGGGGAGTTCCATGCAGTCATTCAGGGATCTGTGCTCCTGCCACCTTGAGTCAGTCTTCCTTAGGGCCTCAGAAATCTCCCCTGACTCCTGAGCAATTGACCATCAAGTTGAGAAAAGGAAGAATGAAGACAGTACATTGCACTGAATCACCTCAGCCCAAGACGGCAAGCCTTGCTTCCATTCGCTTTCCGTTGACAAGAGAGTCATGGGGCCCCAGCTAGATACAAAGGACAGGGAAATGGGCTCCAAGTATGTCCCAAGAGAAAAGGTAACCCAGACCCTGGTAACCACTGAGCCATCCCTGCTGTGAGGGTGGTGGACCAGATTCTGTGCTCCCCACTGGCCACATTGGAGCACAGAAGTCATGACTCCTGAGTCCTTCCCCTTTCTAAGCCTGGGACTGCCTCCCTGCACTCTGTCCCTCTTCCCTGTGTTTGTCCCTCCTTGCTGTACCCTGTCCCTCCTCCCTGTGCCCTATCCCTACCTTTTGTGCCCTCTCCCTCCTCTCTGTACTCTGTCCCTCCTCACTGTACTCTGTCCCTCCTCTCTGCGCTCTGTTCCTCCTCCCTCAAGTCAGGGAAGAGAACGAGTCCCTGCCAAGCCTCCTCGAGGGTGGGTGGCTGGTGAGATAATGATCTTAACCATGCTTATTGCCTCTTGGAAGGCAGGTGCTGGAGAAAAACCAAGTCCGCTCTGATTTTTCTCCCTGTTCCTTTCACATTCCTTCCCCGGATAAATTTAGCCAGCCCTCACTCAAACGGCAGGGCCCAGAATGCCGACTTCTTGTTCTCTGAATTGATGTCAGAGCATTTTTCATGATTGCAGACTTAGGCCAAAAATGAAGGCTTCAGGACCATAGCCCAACTCTGCCCTGCCCCAAACATCTGTAACCAACCCTCTCTCCCCTGCCCATTCCCCCATGGGTATCAGGTGCCACAGTTCTGCAACAAGGGCCTTAAATTCTCCAGTGCTGTGAGAACAGGAGGGCTATGAGAACTTGCATAAGGGCTCCCTGCATCCTTAACAGCTACCTGGACCTGGAGACAGGATGGTTCAGGAATCTGGATATGGACTTTGACGTCATCAGTACAGAAGCAAGTTACGTTCTCCTCTATCTCTTCATCTATAAAATGGGTCAACAACACTGCTGAGATGCTTATAGAAGTTCCTCTTGCCTATCCTACTTCTCTCCCTTCAGTTGCGAAGCCCACGGGAAACACCTTTCTGGGTCAAGCTCCTCCTAGAACCTTAACTCACTAGATAGTTTTCAGTCTTACTCAGGCAGCAAGTGCATCACTGAAGCACACAAGCTCTGGCCATGCCCAGGCACAGACAGAAACAGAAAATATGCTGTCTGTGCTTCTGTAATCCTTCCCAACCTGGATAAGCTCTCAGGCCACAATGGGGATGGTTAGGGTAGATTTCCTGGAGTGAAACAGTGGGTAGTCTCAAGGGGGTGATTGGATGCAGGGGGTCTTCACAAAGATGCACCTAGGATAAAGGGAACCAACCTGGCTGGTGAAGGGTCCCCGGTCTGGCAACATGTGGAAACTGCTACCATGGGGCTAGTGTGGGCAAGGAGAGGAAGCGGTGCACAGAACCTAGAGAAAGGTGAGACTATAAGACAGCGTTGCTCTACAGGTTCTTGGCCTTCAGTGGAAAACTAAGCCACTGCTAGTGACTCAGTAGACTAAGCACCCTGACTTTCTGTGCCATTCCCGCCCCCCCACCCCGGTCTCCTCCAGCCACTGATCTGTTAGTATTTACCTTTGACTGAATCCACCTGGAAACTGGGCAGGGCGCTTGGTCAAAACACTCTCTCAGACCAGGCTCCCAGGATCCAGAGCTGGGCAGAGAAGACACAGAGAATGAGGGTGGAGAGGCAGACAGAATCAGGGATTTCTATGAAGAGTTGGTCTCAGCTAGGCACTGGTGGCTCACACCTATATTCCTGGCTACTTGGGAGACTGAGATTGAGAGGATCAAAGTTCAAGGCCAGGTTGAGCAAATAGTTTGTGAGGCTCCATCTCCAAAATGGGCTGTCAGTGTGGCTCAGGAAGTAGAGCTCCTGCTTGCAAGTGCAAAGCTCTGAGTTCAAATCTCAGTTCCACCAAAAAAAAAAAAAAGAGTTGGCCTCAGCAAGTGTATACCCACTATCGCTAACAAAGCATGTCTATTTCTATAGAGAAGGAAACTGACACACTGAGAGCTAAGTTACATAAAAGGCCACACTGGCAGCAAGTGGTGGAGCCAGGAGTGAGACTTGTTTCTGCCCAGCTCCAAAGTTCCCCATTACCCAATGGCAGCCAGAGCAGTGGCCAAGGATTTTTGCTTTAAGGTGACTTTTCTCCATCACAATTACCATCCTCCCTGTGCCTGTAATCCTCCACTATTGATTTGCTTGGGCAAACTGCTGTACAGTTTCGAATGCAAATGTCCTTGGGAAGGGTACCACATCACTCATTCAGAGAATGAGTTCCAAGATCCCTCTCCCTGAAGAGAGAGAGGCCTGGGAATCTGTGGGGACCACAGCCACTCAGAGGGAGACAGCCAGCACTGAGTAAGAGCAGTGTTGGCCACACACACTCACAGAGCTGTCTGAGATTTTTCATTCCCATTGTCTCATTTAATCCTCACCATTCTCCAAGGATGCTGGCACCACAAACCTACTTTGGACCTGTGGGACAGTAGCCTAAAAAGAGATCAGACCATGCTAATATTAGGGTTTGGGTTATGATAGGCAGACAGTGCACTGGCTTTAGAAGCCAAAAGATTGATGCAATTCAAACCCCAAATCCAACTCTTAAGTGAAACCACAGACAAGTCCCTTCCTTACCAAAGTGGGGGTGTGAATACCTCCCCTCTTGTGTTGAGCTCCCACCTCTGCCTGTGGTGAGAATGAAATGTGATTGTTCTCATAAGTCCCCAGCTCAGTATAAGTCTCCCAGCAGCCAAAGCAGAGAAGGGATAGAGGACTTGGGCAAATCTAGTGCTGAGTTTCGCCAGTTAAGTAACCCTGGCCATGTTACTTGACTCCTTAGAGCCTCATTTGAAAAATAGGACAATTAGCCCATGTTACTAGCTAATGCCTGTAATCCAAGATGCTTGGGAGGCTGAGATCGGGAGAATCATGATTTGAGGCCACCCAGAGTAAATAATTCGTGAGACCTCGTCTCCAAAAAATGTACTAGAGATGTAGCTTAAGCAATAGAGCCCCTGCTTTGCAAATACAAAGCCCTGAGTTCAAACCCCAGTCTCACCAAAATAACAATAATAATGATAATAATAATAATGCAATTATTTTCCTGTGCCATAGGAGGTAAGGTGTCTAAAAACACTTTTTCAGCTGCTATACACATGTAAACATATTTCTTCAGCAAATAACAACAACCAATATCAACAAGTACTTCCTGAGCACTTACTATGTTCCAAGACAGTTCTGAACCCCTGACATTATGTGGTTTCACTCAATTCTCAAGACAACTTTGGGAAGCAGGCCTCTGTATTGTTTCCACTCACAGATGAGACAACTGAGTCTCAGAGAGGTTAAATAACTGTCCCCAGGTTGCACAGCTGATAGGTGGTAAAACGAAGATTTGAGCCCAGATTAGATGAGAAGCCTGTGGGAGAGAGGAAGTACCTGCAGTGAGCTGGGCCCTGAGATACCCAAACAAGTAAAACTGAAGAAGCCTGGAGTCAAGCAGTGGCTCAGACTTGTACACAACAGAATTATATGGAGAAATTCTTTAAAAGGAAGAGTCTTTGGTCTCGCCCACAGAGATGCTGGTTCTACAGGTTCTGGGTATAGTTTGGGAATCTGCTTTTTAAACAAATCCACAAGATGATGCCTGTGCAGGAGGTCAGGTAACCACACAGGGAGGACATCTCACCAAACCACTGGTAAGGGCTCCTTAGTAAATGAGGATCACGGGGCTCCAGAGGACCTTGGGGATTCAGGCAGGAGAGACAGGAGCCCATGGGGAACCTACTTTCTCCTCTGGCCTCCAGGTTTGCCAAGTACTACAAAATGGAGAATGGCAGTGAGTATCGCACACTCCTGAAGGCTTTTGGCATCCGCTTTGACGTGCTGGTGTATGGAAATGTGAGTCCTAGATGGGGTGGGCTGGGGAGGCATCTCAGGCCAGCTCTTGAGCCCTGAAGGGGCTCCTTTTGGGGGAGGGATCTGCCACTCGCCAGTTGGCCACATCTCCTGTCACCTCACCTGGACCATGGAGGGGTGGGACCCACTGACTCATGCCTCTCTGGCTGGGACTCCAGGTTCGGCCTCAGGCCTCACCACCTCTCAGCTGAGTCCTTTACCCACTAGCCTTGTTCTTTGTGCATACAGGCCGGCAAGTTCAACATCATCCCCACCATCATCAGCTCTGTGGCAGCCTTCACTTCTGTGGGAGTGGTGAGTTCAGCCACTCTAGGCTCTGACAGGAGACTGGTCAGGGTGGGTCCCAGGCAGACTCAGACAACAGGGAGTGGCCCATCCCAGCCCTCCCTCTGACCAGATGTTTCAGTCTCTTCCACCACCTCCTGCTGGGTAGCCCTGGCTGGAACTTCTCTATCATTACTTCCCAAAGTTCATGACCACCCCAAACCACTTTCCTATTTTCAGGAGGCTCTATCTGGTAAGAGGATCCTGCTTCTCACCATAAAGGTAGCAGAAGCTCCAGGTTTCCATAGATCTTAGTCAAGGACAGAGCCCCGTTTTCAGGGCTCCTCCCCCAGGTCTTGGTGGGCTTCTCCTACCAAGCCCTCTGTGTGTGTGTGGCATAGGGTCATCCCCAGGAGCTGGAAAGGTGGACCACAAAGACATCTTGCAAAGCCCTGAGTATTTTTCTAAGAGGAAACATCAGTCAGGCCCGTCTGAAGGACTCATCATCTACCCTGGCCTGATGTCTGTCATGCCCAGGGCCTGACCAACTCAGTGGTCCCTTGAGTTCTGCCACCCTGCTCCCACCCATCCCATGTGGCCCTCCTAAGCCTGTCCTGCCTCTCCTCCAGGGAACTGTTCTCTGTGACATCATCTTGCTCAACTTCCTCAAGGGGGCCGACCAGTACAAAGCTAGGAAGTTTGAGGAGGTGAGTTGGAAGGGGCAATTTAAGTAGAGGGTCAGGAGAATGAGGGGTGCTGGACACTAGGGACTGTCAGTGAGGGAAGTTCATTGGGCCTCAGTGAATATGTGGAGTCCAAACAAGAAAGGGTTCAGCCAAGAGTGAACTCTTCGGAGAATTTTGGGGATTCTGTAGATCATCCCTGTCAACATCCCCACCCATTTGTCATCCCATCTCTATTTCTGGGTCAGGATAAATTCTGCATGGGATGACTCAGGTTTCTGTTTTCCCTTGGTGTATTCAGAAAGAGTTGGATTGCCCGATTTTCTCTAGCTCTCCTAATGACCAGGCCATGGCCTCCACTGCTAATTCTGTCAAATAAGTCACACAGGAGACCTTTCCCCGAATCAGAACATAACAATACCAGCCCTTCTGCCTGCAGGTGAATGAGACGACTCTGAAGGTCACTGCCTTGGCCAACCCAGTGTACCCCAGCGACCAGACCACAGAAGAGAAGCAGTCTACAGACTCAGGGGCCTACTCCATTGGCCACTAGGATCCCTTCCAACAACCCCATGCTCACCCTTGGGCTCCAGACCTCTAACAGGGGCCCCACCTGGGCAAGGAGGGGTGGGGTAGAAGAGGAGATCTCATTTCTGCTACTTACCCCTTAGGCCACAGCTGGGACCCAGATGTCTGGGCTTCCCATTGCTCCAGCAGACAGGTAGTGCTCCCTGCTAAGACCTGAATCTCACCTTCACCCCTTGCATGCCCCAATCTGCTTCCCAAGGCTCTCAGAGCAGCAGCACCTCCATCGTCCCCCTCCCAAAAATTAGAGATAATAATAGTAATCACAAGGACCCCAAAGGGCCCACCAAAGTGACCCCAAAGTGCCAGGCACTTTCACACACATTGTCTCATTTAATCCCTAGATTAAATGATTAATCCTGCCAGGCAGTTGTTTCCCTGTTTTGAAGATAAACTGAGGCTCACAAAGACTGAGTCATTTGTCACAGGCCATATGGCCAGGTAGTGAGAAAGCTGAGATTTGAACCCGTGTCTGACTAACTCCTTTGCCCACACCCACAAGAGAACAACACACTCCCCGGGTGTCTGCCCTGCGACATCAGCACCTTTCCCAAGCCATGATTGGGGCAATGAAGAGTAAGCCCAGGATTTCACAGGAACTCAGGCCCCAGTTTAGAGGAGACCAGTTAGACAGTGGTATAGCATCTCTTCTCTGACTCAGGTAGATCTCAAATTCAGAAAGAAATAGGCATGACTATGGGTGAATTTTTCCTTATTTCATGCTAGAGGTGAGGGAAAGGAATGGGCTCTTCTTGTTTTCCCTCTGGGATGCCACACATACCCACACACATCTGGGGCTCCTCACTCTCAGGGTGGAAGGTGATTCCTGGACCTTGGGTCCTGCCCCAGGAGATAAGCATTCTTCATGTAAAACACTGGTGAAAAGGCTCCAGTGAGACCGAGTCCCCTCTACGCCAGTCAGTCAGGCCAGCTAGCCTGTCCCTAAAGGGTCCTAAAAAATGGGTCAGTCTTCTAAAGTTAGAAGCTTAAAGAGGCATCAGAAACCATCTTGTGAAATCCTCTTGCTTGCAAATGAGCATACTGAGGCTCAAAAGGGGAAATGACCTGTCCAGTTCCATTGAGTTAGTGGCCAGGAGAGAACCCAGGTGTCCTCCTGCTCAGGGAAGGAGTCAAGAACAGGAAACCGGCTCCATTGGCTTAGATGCCCCCTGTCCCCTTTCTGGGTTTCATATAGTAGTGAGAGGGTCAAAATCTCACTAAGGCAGGGCTTGGGGGCAGACCCAGGTTTTTGAGGCCATCAGGGATACAATTTGGGGGTATCTTCTTGTATTTTCTTTGAGACAGGGTCTGACTATGTAGCCCAGGCTGGCCTTGAACTCTCAATCCCCCTGCTTTAGCATCCTGAGTGCTGAGATTTCAGATGTGTACCATCATGCCCAACTGGGAGCATCTTTTAAAAAATAATATGAAAGTAGATATAAGAAGAGGCTCATGCAAGTGAGTAGCCCTGAGGTATAGGGTTTTTTAGCATCATAGTAAAAATGGGCATAATCACAAGGTCTTAGCAGAAATTCACTTACCTATAGAGAGAGGGCTGACCCCTCAACAAAAGGGAGATAGGAAATCTGGAAGCAGCTTGGGAGGTTCACACAGGGTACTTCCACAGGCCAGACCCTAATGATCCCCCACCCCAGGGAGAGAAGGGTAAAACTCTTCCCCATGAAGTCCATCACCTCTTCCCTCTCTCTGCCCTCTCTCACAGCCCCTTCCTCAAGGTAATGGGATAATAGCTCCCCAATGCCAGACTCAGTGCAGTTTCCAGAGACCTGACCAGACTTTATTTCGCCAGCAGAGACATCAAGGAAAGTAGCTTCACATTCTCCAAGCAGGAATCCCATGGATGTCCATTACCAATGCAGATTTCAGGAAGCTGGGCTGAGACTGGGCTGAGGCTGGGCTCACAGAAATGCTCTGTGGGAGATGGGGTGACTGTGTCTTGGAGGGACCCTCTCCCATAGCTCTTCCCTGTCCTCCTGCAGTGCCTCAGCCACTCCTGAGCCTGCCAGTAAGTGCGTGTGAACCCGATACTGTCCTCCCCATGTCTGAACCAAGTTGCTGCTTGTGTGTTAGATGCAGGGTTAATATAAGTAGTAATAACAATAGCCAGCTTGTCTCTGTCACGTCATGATTTACCTAGCACAATCACCAACACATCCACAGGGGCCCACACACCAGCCCTAGTGAGGCTGCTACCTGTTTATTAATTCTATTTGATAGAAAAACAAACTGATAATACGTGGAAATGAAGATGGAACCCATGATCATTTCTAACACTACATTTCTTCTTTCATGATTCAGCATAAAAGCTAACATTTATTGATGACTCACCATTGGTAAGCAACGGGCTTAATGTGTGACAGGTATTACCTAATTCAACTGTCATTTCGTAGAAGTGGAAATGGGAGAGCTGGGACTTGAACCCAGAATTTTCTGAATCCAGAGTCTGGAATCTTAAATGCTGGTCTATATCTATTTGGTAAAAATCAGGAAATGTATTGAAACATTCTTTTCTATATGGGTTAGTTGAGCTAAACCAGGTTTTGCTGAAGTAACAAAATTTCAAGGTTTACTAAACAGACAGCCTGTCCCTCTGGTAGGTATGCCATCTGAGACACATGACTCCCGATCACTATGGCAGGTAAAGTGAGAGCTGGAGGATCTAGGGAATCCTTCAGACACCAGGTCTGAGAGTGACCACTTCCAATCACATCCTATTGGCCAGATGCAGTAGATCTGAACTTTACTGCAATGAATGCTGGGAAATTTAGTCTTCTTGGGATTCAAGGAAGAGAAACTGGGTAAACACAACACTGTCTTGGCTTCATAATCTCCTTTTTCATAGCTTTCCTTCTTTTCCTCCCACCCAATCCCCACCATACCTCCTGACAATTCCATACATCCCTCCCTTCTGTGCTCCTTCTCACAAAACCTTGTTCTCAGCAAGTTGTCAATCAACATCCCAGAGGTATTAATAGATAATGTTCTGGGGAATTTCTTTTCTCAAGAGTATTTTCTTTTTAGTCAAGATATTCAAGTCTGGAAGGCCTTAAATAGCCAGAGGAATTAATATATAAGGGTTGAAGCAAAGACACAATAAGGGACAGAGGTAGAGATCAGAGGGAACCATATTTACTTTGGCCTACCCTAAGGAAGCTTCAGTCTGGAAGGATCTTGGTTTCCCTCTCTTCTCTTTCCTACTTTTACTTCTGGTTTTGGTTGTCAGGATGTTGGGCTACTGGTTTTGATTATAGGCCATTTCCCATCAGTGATATATATGGAGGTTGATAACCAGGGCTTGGTGTTCAGCTGAAATACCATTCCCAGAGCTACCTATGCAGAGCTTCCCTTACTGCTCACCCTCCCACCCCTGCAGCAGACTCCACTGTTCCTTTATGAGCTTATTGCTTCAAGAACTGGCTTATTGCAGTGTTCAATGCAGGTGACCTGCGTGGAGCCCTGCTCCATACCTCCCATGCCCATTGGGAAAACAATCCCTTGTCCTGCTGTGATTAAGAACTGCCTGGCCCAATCTCCATCCAAGGCAGAGGAATAGGCCCTTCTACCAAAGACAGACCTTTCACCTAGAGACAGTCCTTGGGGCCCAGCACTGGTGAGGCTCATGGCCGTCCAAGGCTCATTTCCCCTGACCAGAGACCTGCCCACGTTCAAGGCACTCATCCCTGCTGTCTCCCCACTATCCACTTTCCAGGGCTGTCGCCAGTCCCCTGTTCCTACAACCCCACTTTTAGAAACACAGCACATCTGGAAAAACTGGGGGTTTGCTCCTGAAACCATATCAGATGCATATACAGATAAACACATGTATACCCACAAAGACAGGTACACAGACATGCTCAGATACACACTGACACATATACACACTCACATACATATGCTCAAAGACTCAGAAGCACATATGTAATCATATACACAGAGATTCAGGTGTATAAGGGTACAAAGCTAGACAGACCACATTCATAGATAGGCATATCCATAAGTAAGCAGAAAGGTATAAATACATGTACACTCAAATAACACACAAATACACACTGGCATTTATGCACACATATAGGTTCACACATGTATGGATCTATACGTGTAGGTAATGATTGCCTCATATATACATCAAAATACATATGCATACATGTACATGTGAACAAACAGAAATACTTGGGCCCCATGTGGAAATACACCCCCAAAGGAAGCTCTCTCTCTCTCTCTCTCTCTCTCTCTCTCTCTCTCTCTCTCTCTCTCACACACACACACACACACACACAAAGTACTAGGGCTCTGTCCTCTCAATACCCAGTTTCAGCTCTGAATTTCCTGCTTCAACTCTAGAATAATAATTATTTGAACTGAGGGGCCTCACATTTGGTAGGCAAGTACTCTACCATTAAGCCATACCCCAGTCCCCTGCTTCAACTCTAAATCTTTCTTGGAGCCCCATCTGGTGCAAAGTTAAGGCCAAGAATAACTTTGTGTCTCAATGTCTCCAGGGTCTGAGAAAGTGGGCTCAAGAAGAGAGGCTGAGGCCTGGGACAGCAGAACTAGTAGTAGAAACTATGGCCAGGTACCCTCCCTTTGGCTCCAAGGCTCCACTGGTGGAAGGTAGCTTCCTTCTAAGACCAAGGACCTTCTGCAGAGGTAGCCAGGGATAGAGGAAGGGAAAGAGAGCCTCTCCCCTGGGCTCTGAACCCACAAGAGGTCTAGGAGAATAAGAAACAGCAGTCATTAACCAAGACCAAAAAGTAAAGGGCTAGATGAGCAGGCTGCCCCAAGACAGGGCTTTCTCCCCATGCCTTCCACCCATGGTGTCCCCCAAGTGAAATCTCAATGTCTGACTCTTGAATCAGTCCCTTTGCTTCCATTTTAGAAAGCCACATCACTCCACACCTCATACAGAGCACAAGCTCAGCAGAAGGGCCTGCTTCCTACTGCCCACCAAATGGAATCTTCCCTCTTCTGCAGAGCAAGGTGGGAAGGTAGAATCAGAACAAGGCTGAGAAGGGCATTGGGGAGAGTCCTGCCTCATCCCTGCTCTGCCTCCAGGTGGCACTGCAGCTAAACAGTGCAGCCCCACCCTAGAGGCCAGCATCTGGCCATCTTTTACTTTCCAAAGGGAGCAATGAAGAAACAATGCTCAGAAAATGCTGCTGGAAGTCTTCATTTATCATCAAGAGAGGCTGGAGGACAGAACCCAGTGCTGAGTGTGGGACACAGGCAGCCAGAAGTGTGAAGGCAGGAGGCTCCAAGGCAGGGTCTCTGTACTTCTGGTTTAGGAGGAGCAGACAAAAGGCAAGCACCTTCTGCATGGAGCTCGTCGCCAATAGCCCCCTAGCAGCAGAGAGCACAGTAATGTCAGCTGTTCCTCTGGGTCTCACCTGAGTCCCCAACACTTTCCCTCCTCAGGTACCTCTATGTCCCCTTCCACTGCCATCATCACTACCTGTCAGTTGTACTAGCTAACATTTATTGAGCTCTAACTATGACTTAGGCTGTGTGCTAAGTGCCTTATAAGGTCTGTCATGTTTAGTTCTCACAAAGACTCTGGGAGGTAGGTGCCACCATCTCATGTCATAGATGAGGAATCGGAGACTTCGCGGAGATCAATAACTTCCCTGTACTCAGCTGGCAAGTAGCAGAGATGGCATGTGAATTGCAGCCCTCCTGCTCCAGCATTTACTATCTTAGCCGCTACATTAAACTCCCTCACATCTGCCATCCATGCTGTTACCCACATCTGCAGTTCAAAGCTGGTATCTTGTCGCTCAGCCATCTCTCATTCCCACATCTTTCCTTTCCCTCATCTACACCTTCTATTCACAGTGAGCTGCTCTCACTGAATACATCAGTCACTCAAATTTGTCACCCTCATATCAGAGGTAAAGGACCTCCAGCCAGTGACACACACATGGCACCCCACCATCTGGTTTTGCTTTGAGGGATTCTTATATACCTCACCGCTCATCACAAACAGGGCTTTGGTTCTCCAGCTGGGTGGTGTGAGTTTGGGGAGGTGTGTCCAGGCAGCTCAAAGGGAAACCATCTAAGAGTCCATTTTCTTAAGCTTTTCCTTGCCCCAGGACCCATTTTCCTCACCTTTGGTACACAGCGCCACACAATGGCCTTTCCCATTCGTGGGCTGCCCTTGGGCCCAGTATCCAAAATCCCAGCAGCTCCCATCAGTCCAACAAAACTTCTTCCACAGGAACTAGAGAAAAGAGAGGGTGGTTCAAAGGGTAGAGGTCCAAGAAGGCAGGCACACAGGGGCTACTAATGACTCCTCTTTCCACCTACTTGGCCAGGAGCCAGATATCCCCATGACCCATCCCTGAGGGTTTGCAGGCAATGCCAAGAGGAGAGCAACCATTTCTCCCAGTCACACACAGAATAAGCTTCTCCAGCTGTACCATGGGGATCTTGTTAAAATGAAGATTCTGATTCAAGTGGTCTGTCATGGGGCGCAAAATTCTACATTTCTAACAAGCCACCAGGCAATGCTGATAGTGTTAGTCCATGGACCAAATTGTGAATACCAAGTATAATGGTATTTATTCATCCACAGTCTCAGAGCCATTCTGAGAGAAGGGAGAGCCCCATTTTACAGATGAAGAAACTAAGGATACAGGAACCTCTTCAGTTACTATGTGGCTACACCAAGACTGTAATCATTCTTCTAGAATCTGCCTTCTGACTCCAGTGTTGTGCTGGGAAATGTTTTTAAAATCAGCTCTGGGGAAGGGTGAGAAGATGAGAAATAGGAAGGAGCCCTGATGTGTAACATGCTATAGTTTGGATCTGAAATGTCCAGTGAAGGCCTGTGTGTTAAAGGCTTGGTACCCCAGTTCATGGTGCAATTGGGAAGTGGACGAGCATTTAAGTGGTGGGGCCTGGTTGGAGTAAGTTAGATCACTAAAGGCATGCCCTTAAAAGAGATATTGAGACTTTGGCCCCTTCCCTGCCACCATGAAGTGATCAGGCATCCTCTGCCACATGCTCCTGCCATGATGGACTGCTGCCATAGACCCAAATCAAAAAAGCCAAGTGATAATGGGCTGAAAATTCTGAAACTGTGACCCAAAATAAATTTTTCTTCCTAATAAGTTTGTTCTCTCAGGCATTTTGTCACAGTGATGAAAAGCTGACTAATTAATACCAATTGCCAATATTTGGGGTGTAAATACTCCCACCATGGTTGATTTCAAGTCAAAGCATGTAGACAGGGAGAGGTGACAGCACATCGCTGTCTGTCTCTCTAAGGACACCTCAGCTACTTGGCTGAGGCTTGGCACCTGCAAGTGCTCCCTTAAGACAATCAGAAAGAACTTCCTGACTTACCCAGCCTTTGAGGATGCCTCCGATCCAGACCTGGGCCTGGTTGATCCTACTGGTCAAGCAGTGAACATAGTAGTTGAAATTGTAGCTGTGAATGGAGACAAGGTTGCCTCCATAGCATCTCCTGCAGACATTCTGCCAAGAGAAGCGGTGAGATAGAGAATCCATTCTCTTACCTCTGAAGTTCTTGATCTCCAGTATAGCTTCTTCCAGCCCTTTCCAGGTTAGAAATAAGGGGCCTGCTCACCTCCCTCAATCCTTAATCAGTTGTTAGCACATCCTTATAGGAAATAATATTTACAATAGTTAGAGTCACCATTTATTGAGTGTTTACTATGACTCTTCCAAATGCATTACCTCATTTAGCCTTTACCACAACTCTGGGAGATTGGTACCATACAGTCATTCCTCCATATCCATAGGTTCCCAACTCACAGATCCAAAATATTTTTTAGTTGTGTACACTAAAAAATGGACTGGACATGTACACTTTTTTCTTGCTATTATTCTCCAAAGAATAAAGTGTAACCATTATGTACAGAACAATGACATTGTGCTCGGTATTATAAGTGATCTAGGATAATTTATAGTACACAGGAGAATATGCATAGGTTATATGAAAATGCCATTCTATTTTTATATGACATTCAAGATTTTGGTTTCTACAGGGGGTTCTGGAACCACTCTGCCATGGGTACTAAGGGACAATCTATGTTTCTTCATTTTACAAATGAAAATACTGAAGCTCTGAACAGCAGTGACTTGCCCAAGTAACGTGGCCAGTGAAAGGTGGAAACAGATTTTAACATGGTTATATCCAGTAGCAAAGTGTTTTATCCAAAGCAGAGTTCTCAAAGTACAGTCCTCAGACCAAGAATATCATCATCACTTGGGAATTTATTATAAATACAAATTCCCAGACCTTACTTAAATGAAAAATTATGAGGGGGAAAGGGGAAAAACCCCAAACTCTATTTTAAAAGCCCTCTAGGTGATTCTGAAACTTTGAGAACTGCTAGTCTAAATGAACAGAAAAGAGAAAGTTTGAGTCCTCCCCCAGGCACTCCACAGTAATGCCCTGTCACTTACCTGAGCTTTTCTAAATGTCTTAGGAGTCCTCACCAGCAGATAGCGGCAGGTCTTGCACCCAGGACTTCGCTGCATTTGAATTGTGTCCTCTTCCCTAGGGCATAGTGAGTCCTTGTCTAAAGCTGCTGGTTCCGACTCCATGGCCTCCTCCTCGTCCTCCTCCTCCTCAAAGGCATCTTGATGCCCAGAAGCCTCTTCCTCCTCTCTCTCTGTCTGAATCATCTCTTGTGTCAAAACCAACTCTCCCTCCTGCTCCCCTGCACCATGTAGATCTGTCCCAGCTCCCCCTCTGTCTTTGGGCTCTCCAGATGAGGGTCAACGTTTTCTAGGAAGAAGAAATAACCAGCCATCATATCAGGCATTCCCTTCTTCCAGGACCACGGACAGCTCCAAACATTCAGCTCAAGTCTTCCTGGGACACCATTTGGAGCCTGACAGGAGGAGCTTCTCCATGTTGGACAAGAAGAGATGTCTTGGGTCAGACTCCCAAATGGATGAGAACCTGACCTCTGACTGACTCCACAGTTGTGAATGGGGGAGAGAGAGGAAACACATGAGAATCTTGGAACAGTTACCAACCCTTCATTTTAATAGCCATGACAGACAATTCGTGTTATAGTTCTGAATCAAGAAGAAATCTTACCAGAGATAAGATGAGTCAACTGAAAAGGAGAAACTATGGCTCTGGCCCCATGAGAGCAAAAATAAGGAGGACTTACCCAAATGAAGAGCAGAAACTCTCCCCAGCAGGAGAAGAGGCAGGAGCAGGGGGCATTTCATTTCTGTCTTATAACAGAACACAACTTCACCTTCTTTCTGTGGGCTGTCCTGTGTACCTAGCACAGCTCTTGATATTTGTTTAGATAGTTGACTAAAGGGCAGACTAAAGAGCTTCTTCCTCCTCCAGTGGATGGTCCCTGAGCTGGAGAATACGAAGAAGGAATGGCAGAAGGGGCAACTTAGGTAAAAAGCCCCCTTCTCCTGAGCTCTTCCTTGTCACTTCCCTGAGTGGAGTCACACTCAGCCTAGATTCCAGACCCTGCGGAGATAGTGAGCTCAAAGTCAGAACTGACTTCACTCATGCTGGAAGGACTGTGGCCATAATAGTCTTAAGGACAGGCTTCCTGGGTGTTTGTATTTAGGGTCCTGCTTCCTCCCAGGCCCTGGATCTCTCCTCCCTGAGCAGTCTGGGAACACTTACCTCCTGAGAGTCTGGAGCCTCTACTCTCAGTGCCTCTGGCTATTGGGCCCCTCTATCAGCACTTATACTGGGATTTTGGGGAAGTAGGAAGAGGCCAGAATGATTGCCCCAGGCCAAGGCTGGGGGTAGTAGAGATGATAACAAATTTGCTCCATTCTCTCGCCCCTGAATTCTTCTTTCTGATGGAACTTCAGAGGCAGCGCTCTGCATCTGGGACCTTCTGTCCTATATGGGAGTCCACACATTCTGGCTTATTTTAATGTCATGCCAATATCCAGGCATAATTATTATTAGTGCCTCAGTCTGAACAATGCCCCTTTACCCAGGAGCAGTTTCCCATAGTCAGTATTCCATGAAGCCAAGTGCAAATCCCAGGGAGCAACTGAGAGACCACAAGAGATGGGGGAGGGGGGAATCTCGGCACTCCTGAGCACTTATCTACACCAGGTGCCTCATGTACATCACTTGATTCCCACCCGCCACCAGGAATGTATGACCATTCTTGCTTCATAGATGTGAGCAATGAAATTCAGAGAAGGAAAGTGACTCCCAAAGTTACAAAGGAAGTGAAGAAGTGAGAGAGAAGGGACTTCTAAGTCTTTGGTGTTCTAAAACTCTCTGCTTCTGTTTTTCTCCTCTCTCTTTCTCCATCTCTTTCCCTCTTCTCCTCACTTAAATGTATGAAAAGCCTATGCTCTTTCTTCTATACTGTAGATCTAAATCAAGATTCCTCAAGCTTTGCATTATTAATATTTGAACCAAATAAAATTGTCTCAAATATTGTCCTGTGCTTTCTAGAAAGTTAAATGGCACCTCTGGCCTCTACCCACTAAGTGTCAGTAGCACCTCCCTTGATTTAGGACAATCATTTCCTAATGTCCTCTGGAAAATATGGGAATTCTGATTTCTAAATATGCCATTTTGTCAAACCTGAAGTCACATCTCCAGGGCTGGCAAAGACACCACAGCTGAAATGAAAAGCTTCGTGGAGGGTCTTCTAGTCACTCTGTAGACCATCCTGTCACCCCACCCTCCCCTCCTGTCTCCTACCAGTCCTCTGTCACCACCAGGGTCAGCACTCATCTCAGGAACAAAGAAAATTCAGTATTCAGTACAAATAATATTCTTGATGCAGTCTTTCTTAAAATCAAAATTAATGCAAATCATCCATGATGAACAAAATATCAACTTTGAATCAACCAAACCCCATCCCAGTTCACTGATATCCAAAGAAAAGTAAACAAGTGCTGAGCCCCAACTTGGCCAGACCTCTGGGCCAAAATCTCATAGGTTACTGGAGTGTGGGAAGATGTCTTATTGTACAGTACATATTTGTTGCCTGCACTCTAGTTCAGCCCTCCAAGACAACAGGGACAGGTAGCCCAGAAGGCAAGAAGGCCTGGATTCTATACCCTCTTCTGCTCTCCCAAGGGACTTATAAATGGAGAAGTAACTGAGCAGTCCCTTCTAGGCCTGATTGCAGAGTAACGACCTTGGCTGTTATCTCCCCACTCAACGGACCCCTCTACTATCTGTTTCTCTACTAACTGTGGGAGGGTTAGTCAATGCTAGGACCCACAAACCTGGTATCTAGATTTCAAGCTTAAGACCTCCCCCAGTAAACCCCCCATTATCCATTATCCTTCTCTCTCTCTCTCTCTCTCTCTCTCTCTCTCTCTCTCTCTCTCTCTCCTTCCTCATCCTGGGGTCTAGGTCAGGGGCCCCACTCCACTTGATGGTTGGGATGAACAATAAGATTGTCCACTCTCATGAGCCAGTACCATCACAGGCTTTACATGGGTTCTTTCATTTTACAGTTGAGAGAATGCTTCCCAGTGTTTAAGTGAGTTGTCTAAGGTCAAACAGCAAGTCATGGGCCATAATAAACACACATATTCTGGCTCCTTACCCACACAATAGCTGCCTTTCTCCAGTCTCCTCTCATGGACCTCCATCTTCTCTAAGACCATTCCCTTCCTTACATTGATCCCATTTTCTTTGCACAGAAAAACCCTGAGCAACAACATTCTAATGACTTCCGTGACCTTAACAATGATCACAATGATCCTTTCCTGATTTAAAAGCAGAAGTAACATTTTTTAAGGTCCACCCCAACCAGACACTATGTTTCATCAAGGGGTTTTCACATCCAATACTTCCATATTTAATCCATACAAATCATCCTACAAATTGGATATTGCCATCTCTAATCTTCGTATTTACTGAAAAAGCTCAGAGAGGCTAAATGACTTATTCAAGTTCACATAGCTAGTAACAAGTGACACACAAGACTCTAGCTTGTCTGACTCCTGAGTCCTTGTTCAATATGTCCAAATGTATTACTCTCATACAATCTAGCCAATGGTCAACATTCCTAAGTCTCTGCCTCACCATTTGCATTTATGTTCATAGGGTTTTCAAACTCTGCCTTTTGTCCCAAGACTCAGTCCAGCTCCCCACTACATAAGATGGTACATCTTACTGTCTTGAGAGACAGGTTTGTTTGTTTGCTTGTGTTGCAGTGCTGTGAACAAAACCCAGGGCTTCACAAATACTAGGCAATTGATCTACCACTGAGATATGTCCCCAGTGTCTATTATTCCTCATCATTAATATTGAAATAAGGGGAAGCAATGCTTTCCCACATCAGAATAAAAGCCCATGAGGGCAAGGAGTGAAAGTTCTACTTCAGCTGCATTCTTACAGCACTCACCCAGAGCATGTGCTCCAGAATTTCACCATTTATAAACCTAACGAACTGACATGGAACAATGGTTGCAATGGACCTGTTTGATTTCAGTCTCTTTCTCAACTTACAGAGTAACTTTGGGCAAATAGCTTCCTCTCTCTGAGCCACACTCAAAAAAACTAAAGTTCCTGTTTTGCCATTCTAGGTCTGCAAACCCATATGACGTTCTGTGCTTTGAGGATTGGGAGGAAAAGGGCATTAGGGCATCCACTTCTTTCCTTGTGCTCACTTCTCTGGTGGAGAAGCAGGTAGGATGTCTTTCATCCTCACCTCTGATTGGAGCTTCCTCCCTCCAGCTTGGATTGAGTCTTATGCCTATCGATGAGTCTCAGAGTGAGGGAGAGCAGTTAGCCCTAGCAAAGTATACAACCAAGCTTTGGAGCAGATAGTCACCTCCTGGCACTGGATACATCTAGATGTTTAGTTTTGGCAATCCTTGTTCTATACAGTAGGGATAATAATGAGTCATTACATGGGGCCCTCTATGGGATACTTTCTGTGTGATCAGTAAGTAGCAACAACTTGAAGATGTTCTTATGCTTATGTTATAAACAGCATGAGAATAAGGCCTTGTGTTCCCAGGCCTTACTTAGCATTTGATATTGGATTTTCTCAGAAGGAGAGACTGAGACAAGGATTTGAGTGAAAATTAGCAGGACCTCAGACTTGCCCACATTGTAGAGATAGACAGAAGTTGCCTACTAGAGGAGCAGATAATTAATTTGAAGATGGGCAAGCAGCCAATAAAATATGTGTTATAAGGCCAGACACTTTAGTGGCCAACTGCGCAATGGTGCCCAGTAGATGCCACTGGTTTATTTCACCCATAAAGATGGGTATAAGGAATGGGTACTTATACACATGCTTCTGAGAGTTGTGAACTTTTCCAAGGGACATGTTAATTTTCTTCAACATCAAACCAACCACAGTTCATGGCGGGGGTCAATGACCTGGAGTTGCTAATATAGGCTGTTTGGAGTTCATCTAAAACCTTAAAAGGTCTGGAATATGTGTGTGTGGTCAGGTGTCCAATATCTGGATCTTCTGTGATGAGATCCACCTGAGTCCATTCCTCTTACCAGAAAGCTTTCTAGGCACCAACCTACACTACACCCTTGAAGAGTGGTAACTTCTGACTCCATGAAAGGCATGGAAGAGGGAGAAATTATAAGTCAGAAAGTTCAAATATAGACTAAGTAGAGTGGCCAATGATCACAGGAGAAAATACATGTCTCAGGAAAACAGTTTTATTGCACGGAGGGCATAGGAGGGGCAGGGAAGTGGAGGCAGCTTCCCAGGAAGGGGTGAATTTGAAATCCTGGCTAGGACCAGCTCAGTAGGAACAGATGAAGGGGAGTCTTCTGCCACAGGGAGTGCAGCGCCAGTGGCCGCCTGTGAAGGTGGAACAGGAAGAGACCTTTAGCTTCTTGTCCACCCTTACTGGGTCCCCAGGAAGAACCCCCATCTCTTTTTTCCAGCTCCACATCTTGATGAAGATGACTTTGGAGTCCCACAAGACCTCTCCCTGAAGAGCCAGACTGTCTTCCTGGCACCTCTTCCTTGGGGCACTTCCCACCTCCCAGGCCTTCCCTTTGTTCATACCCAGCACAGCTCACCTTGGGTACACAGGGCCACGCATCTGCCCTTGCCAGCCAAAGGCTGGCCAGCAGCCCAAAATGCAAAATTCCAGCAGCTGTTGTCAACCCAGCGAAAGCGTTTGCAGTGATGCTAGGAAAGGTGAGAAGAGAAGCAGTGGGCTGAGGAAGAAGCAGAGGAAGGCAGAAAGGCAAAGCCAGCACTGCTCTTGCCAGCTCCTCCTGCTGCACACTGGGCTGGCTATTGGCCTTTGACCACTGGACCATGTGACACTGTCCTGGTCAACTGAACCGTTGATCCACAGTGACCATCACCTCCACATTCTGTGCATCCCTGTGGCACAATCCTAATGTCCCTAACAAGGGCAGAGCCTTCCACCTGCTTCCTAGAGATGAGGAAACAGACTTGCCTGCATCACAGAGATGAACAAACACTGAGGGGAGCTTGGACTCAAGCCTCCTGATTCTAATTCCTTGGCTCTTCCCAATGCCTGGGCAATGCCCCAGTGCCTCACCCAGGTGTCCTTCTGTCCCAACTCTTCAGAGGAGAGAAGCACAGAGAAACCTGTAGCAAGGTAGGCACAGGCTTAGATCAGGAGGTAATCCCTTTTTAGAGCTGACACCACTCTTACCGAGCGTACAAGCTTGCCTCCAATCCAGACTTGACCCTGGTTGAATGCACGGACAGAACACTGGAGTTGGTAATTAAATCTTAAACTGTGGATGGAGATGAGGTTGCCTCGGTAGCACCTCCGGCAAATAATCTGCAGTATAAAACAGGAAGAATGGGGTGTCCCTTCTGCAGGAAGTCACATGGCCACAGTCTTCTTTCTCCGGGTCTCCAAAATTCATTCCCTCCCTCCCTCTCTTGCCACAGCCACTTAGACTAAAATGCAACATTTCCACATGACCTCTCCTCTTCTCCCAGCACCTTCTAGAGGCCTCCACCTTTGCTGACCCCACCTCTCCACAGAGCCCACAAAGAGGGAAAGTGTCAGTGATATAGAAGCTGAAGACAAAAGCCCAGCCCCTCTCCACTGGCCACTCACCTGAGCTTGATTAAACCGCCTGGCCTTCCTCACCAGGAGGAAGCGGCTGGTCTTGAATCCAGGGCTGCCCACCAGTTTCACTGTGTCCTCTTCCTTAGGGCACTGAAGGCCAATGTCTACTTCATCTAGGGCTGAAACCGACTCTATGGCCCCATCTTCCTCGGGCACCTCTTCACTTCCAGAACTCCCTTCCTCCTCTTCCTCCAGTGGCATCAGCTCCCCAGTAGGAGCACTCTCAGCTTCCCATCTTGGCAGCTCCCCATCCTGAGGCAAAGTCTCATCTCCCAAGGGGCTCTCCAAGTTGGGAATGTCAGGCCCTGACACAGAGAGAGAGACCAAGTGTCTTCCTTCACCATCTTCCCGTGGTTTTCTCCAGAACCACAGACAGTTCCTGCTTCCCCTCTGCATCAGAGCACTCAACCCTGCCTGGAGAGAGAGGAACCTAGAACCAAGTCTCCATAAAGAGACTTCAACTTTCCCCATGAGGTCAAGGTGGTTAAGAGTAAAGGCTTAGATGGAGTCATTTGTGAACTCAATCTACTAGCTTTATGTCCTTGTGAAACTGGTATACAATATGACATACCTCATGGGGATGCTATGAAAATTAAAGGATATAGTGCATCAAAAATTCTCAGTAAGCTTAAAGTAAAGGAAGTTATCATTATTGTGAACAATGTTTAGCATTAAGTAGAAAGGACAAAATTGGGAATGTCACAGTAGAACTAAAACTGCAGATATAACAGATGCCCTGAGAAGTCCCCTCAACTCCTAACTAGAGTCCTGCTCCTCAACTGCACAGAGATTCTGAAATAGAGAATGATCAGAGAAGGGGATAGGTATGTAATTTGGATCCCATCTACTATAGAAAAGAACCAAATAGAGACAGGGTAAAGACAAAAGAGACTTACTCAGATGAAGAGCAGAAACTGCCCCAACTAAAAGAGCTAGAAGTAGAGGGAGTTTCATCTTGACTTTGTCCTGCAATGAAGAACACAGTTTATCATTCACAAACACACACACACACACACACACACACACACACACACACACACACACACAGCAATCAGACCATTTGGGAGCTTTGAGAGTCGGGTAAGAATAGAAGTCAGGGTGGACCAAAAAAGCTAATGCTGAGCTCAGGGACCTGTTTTTGAATAAAATGAAATAGACCATGAGGGGCAGCCCAGGCTAGCTTTCCTGTGAGCCTGGAAAAGAAAATAATATTACATTTATTAATGAGTATTTAATGAGTCCCTCAGAGTGTATAATACAAGAAAGGATAGAGAAGCAGTGATTGTTGGTCTTCCTGGGAACAGCCAGCACTTAGAAAGTGTGTGCCCTCCTCAAAGTTCAAAAAGCTATACATCCCTCTCATGTCTTCACACTCTGCTCTTCCCAGTCAAGTAGAGTTTTCACGGACCACAGAAGAAGTGTGAAAGGTAGAGGGTGAGAAAGTCCTGTTCTGCTGGCCCCCATGGAACCTGAAAGCCACATGCTGGTCCCCTCTCCACCTCTAACCCCCTCCTGAAGCCTCAGCCTAGGTCAAGCACTGTCCAGAATCAGCTGCATTCAAGAGAGAAAGCACTCACCTAACTAGAATCCTTCCAGGGTCATCAGGAACTTCTAAACTCCAATTCTCCCTTGCTCCATCTCTTTCAATGGCACTTTATACAGACTGAGGAGGAAGTCACCCTGAGGAAGGAGAGTCTTCCTCATTCAGAGGGAGATGGAGAGCTGATAACCATTTCTTCACTTCTCTGGGGAGCTCACTCCTTATCTGCTAGATTCTCCCCCTACCCTCCTTCCAGGCAACTGAGGGTCATTCTGCTTCTGCCCTGGACCAAGAGTTATTCTGCACTGTACTTCTGAATCTCCTTGCTAACTTTTCCAAAACTCACAGTTTTCCTGATTTATTATGGGGGTTGTAAATTGCCAAAGGCATATGGGGAACAAGTTTTTCAATATCTATTAGATTTTAAGATGTACATTTGATCAATTTCACACTTTGGAGACTATCCTTTACTTAAAGGATATTGACTTTACTTAAAGTCACCTGTAAGTAAGAAAACTTCTACAAAGTTATGTATCATTGGATACAACTTGGATATCCACCAATAGGAGCATGAATAAAATGTGTCCAAACTATTCTAGAGGATGTCATACGGCTTTTAAAATAGAGTTGGGCCTATATCTATAAATCTGAGATGTGTATGCTATGTTAGGAAGTGGAAAAAAAGCAAGACACAAAAACATTTAACATGACAACAATTTTACAAAGAAAAAAAACCTCAAGTAGGTCCTTTCTATGATCACTTTTGGAATTCAGGAAAGGATTTGCACCAGCCTGCTGACCTTGGTGGCCTCCACAAGTGAGGAGGAGAGGGAAGAAAAGTGGGAAGAGAGAATTTCCTTCTTTTGGTAACATTGCATTTCTTCAATGTTATGATCAACGTGTGCTAAATCTACAAATCAGGGAGAGGCTTTAATAAAGATTTTTTTAAATATACAAACCCCTCAATCAGAAATTCTGTTTGGCTAGTAGGTCTAGTGTAGAGAACAGATGTCTGAATTTTTAAAGTTTCCACATGACTAAGAATGGGTCTAGGAATCTTTGCCCTGAGGGTCTTCACTCACAGGAAGTGTTCATATATGCCTAACCACTTGCTTTCAGAACTTCACCACTCGGTTGGCCAACCTACTACCTTCATTATGCTAATATTTACTGCCAGTTTTAAATATTATGCATGACAAATATTATCTCCTTTAATCTTTATTTTAAAAATTTAACAAGCCAGGTGCCTGATGTCTCCCTTTTCCAGATGAGGCTCATGACTTTCTCCCATCCCCTGCCATGTACTACCCAAATTCCCTCTTGGAGCTCCATGGGTTTGTCCTTATTACAGGTTGTCCTTTTTTCCTCTTTCTGTGAGATTATCTGGTTAATGGATTAACATTTTGTTCCCTCCTTTAATGATAAATTTCACGATGACAGACAGCATCTCTTTTTTTACCTTCTTTAATTATATAAAATAATGAATTTGAAGCCATGACTCTTTACTTGTCATTATATCCTGGTGCCTGGTACAGTGCCTTACACATACTAAGTCCTTGGTAAGTAGTTGGTGAATGAATGGTTAATAGCAGGTTGGGATTCAAATCCAGTTCTTTCTGGCACCAAACTACCTGCTTCCCATGTGCTTGATGTGTATGTCTAAATGGAGACAAAATCAGAGTGAGTCATCTTCCTTGACCTTCATTTGTTGTGTGATCTAATTGGCAAGATGAGACAAATCTAGATAAAACAAGAGAACAAGGGTCAAGACCCAAGCTAGGCAGCACTGCCAACTCAGTAGGAAGTCCTTCCACAGGAGAAGAGAGCAGAAAAGTCTCCATAGAAAAACAGAGCTGGCTCCAGTCTTCACAGAAAGGTAGAGAGTAGCTGAGCGCCCGTGGTGCACACCTGTAATCCTAGCTACTCAGAAGGCAGAGATCAGGAAGATCTCAGTTTGAAGACAGCCCACAGCAAATAGTTTGAGAAACCCTATCTCAAAAAAATACCCAACACAATTGGCGAGGATGTAGGGAAAAAGGAACCCTCGTATAATGCTGGTGGGAATGCAAGCTAGTGCAACAACTCTGGAAAAAAAATTTGGAGGCTTCTTAAAAATCTAAACATAGATCTGCCATATGATCCAGCAATCCCACTCCTGGGGATATACCCAAAGGAATGTGACTCAGGTTACTCACTTGCACACCCATGTTTATTGCAGCACTATTCACAATACCCAAGCCAAGATGCCCCACTACTGATGAATGGATTAAGATTATACTCAGCCATGAAGAAGAATGAAATCTTATCATTCGCAAGTAAATGGATGGAACTGGAGAACTTCATCCTGAGCAAGGTTAGCCAGGCTCAGAAGTCCAAAAATCATATGTTCTCCCTCATATGTGGACTTCAGATTTAGGGCAAATACAGCAATGTGGTTGGACTTGGGTCACATGATAAGGGGAGAGCACATACGGGAGGTATTGGGGATAGGTAAGAAACCCAAAACGTGAAAGTATTTGATGTCCCCACTGCAGAAGAACTAATACAGAAACCTTAAAGTGACAGAGGTCAATATGAGAAGGGGATCGGGAACTAGTGAGAAGGTCAGTTAGAGATGAATCAACTTGGGATGTAACACATTTATACATGAAAGCAATGCTAGGAATCTCTCTGTATAGCTATCTTTATCTCAACTAGCAAAAACACTTTGTCTTTCTTATTATTGCTTATGTCCTCTCTTCAACAAAATTAGAGAAAAGGGCAGAACAAGTTCTGCCTGGAAGTGGGAAAAAGGGAGGGGGCGGGGGAAAGGGGGGAGAAATGGCCCAAACGATGCATGCACATGTGAATAAATGAATTTAAAAACAAAAAGAAAAAACATACCCAACACAAAATAGGTCTGTGGAATGGCTCAAGTGGTAGAGTAGAGCACTTACCTAGCAAGCATGAGGCCTGGCAGTCAAACCCTAGTACCAACCACAACAACAAAAAAAACAGAGAGTAGAAGGAATGGAAATGTAGATTTTCCAGGTAGAAGGAACAGCATGAGCAAAAGTGTTCAGGTGGGATGAACTTGGCATATGCACAGGACAGCATTATTTCCTTCATAACCAAAGTTAGCAGTATATAATTGAGAAGGGGTGGGAAAATCAACAAGACCCTAGAGAAGAGCATGGAGCTGGGCTCAATCCTCCCCCATGCTCGGGTTCTCCCTGAAGTGATGCTTTGCAAGACAAACACAGCTACCACGACCAGAAAATGATAAGATGAAGCTGATTCTTGGAAGCCAGTTGGCTACTTGGGCACCTCAAACAATCCCCTGAAATATAATCCAGGACCTGAACTGTACAGGTTAGGGACCCCGGAGATTTCACTTCATCATCACCCAATGAGGGGACAGAGCAGCAGCTGAGAGTGTGTGTTCAAAAAGTCAATCAGTTCAAGTCAGACAGTCATGACCATGTATGTTTCTCAACCTTCTGTACCTCATTATCATCGCTTATAAAGCAGGGATAACAATACTTACCTCACTGGGCAGTCAGAAGGAACAAATGAGAATTCATGTGTCGTGGACATGCAATTAGCTGCCCAGTCACCTCACCTCTTCCATTGTTTTCTGAGATTTTTCTTCCTATTGATCATGAGAAGGACGGGGAAGGTATGTCATTATGGAAGACAAAAGTATCAAATAGACTCCCAGCCTCCCTTGCAGCTAAGGCATATGACTATTCTCTATCAAACAGAAGCATCCACTCAAGACTGTGAATCTGCAGCTAGTGGCAAAATAAATTGGAGTCAAGAAGACCTCTGACTGGCAGTAGTGATGACAAGATCAGGTTCTAGGGTGAAGTGCCCACAGTGCTGGAGGATGGACCCAAGGTCCAGCCCTGTGACGTCCTGGGTGCCAGTCACAGGATCTATATATCAGCAGTAACAGTGGGATCCTCCCCAGGCCACTTCTGAAGCCTGATTCTTTCTGAGCTATTTATTTCCTTTCATTAAATGTATTTTTCTACTCAGATCAGCTACAGAGCGTTTCTATTGCCTGCCACTAATTGCTAAAACACAGGGACTGGCTAGTCATATTATTAGGCTCAGAAATGATTAGGGTCTTTGAGGCTGACCCATATTAATCAAGCTCTCAAAGAACCAATGTCTACATCTGGTGTCAGTGGCATAATTTACATTGACCTATATCACAAGGAGCTTCCTTGCCCAGGTCCTTGGACCACAGTTCTCTCCCTGAATCACAAGATACAGTGTACTCAATAGATTTTGAATGAAAGCAAAGATCTGGAGAGCTTGAGGTTTCGTGCCTGCAAGCAAGGGGGCTGATGCCTATTACCCCGACTTCAGCCTCAAGCCTGCCCCCTTCCACTAAGAAGTGGTGGATCAACATCACAGTATCCTAGGTCTTAGGAATGATCCCTTTGGGCCTCCAGGTTACTACAGGGGTTGGCCGTCCCTAAGCAGACTCAGTCACCCATCTGGATATCAGCTCAACCATGGAAGACCTGACAGATCACGTCTGCACTTAGTCTCCTAATCTTATCTTCAGGGGCTCATCCAGCTGTAAGCTTATGGAGAAACTTGCGATAGCCCCAGTACAGCCTGTCCAGGAGCAGACCTGGCTCTTGGGGCTCTGCCTGCCACAAGTGTGGGCTGCTGCACCAGGTGTACAATATGCATGTACCAGGCACTAAGCAGAGGTCATCTGGCAATAGTGGATACTGCCAAGGAACTGTGGTCTATATTCCACCCATATCCAATCCCCAGCATGCAGCAGCTTGAAGGTAAAAAACTCTACAACTTCCCAACTCACACTGTTTATGCCTAGGCTCTATCTGCATCTCTCCCTACGCCCTGCACCAGGGTTTCTCAACCTGAAAACTATGGATAAGGTTCAAGGGGCCATAACCCAGCAACTGTAGATAACATATGGTGTTATGTTCCTATGGCAAGGGTCCAATCCTTCCATGATATTCTTCTGTGGCCTAAAAAACTAAAGAGGGCTGGTAGAGTGGCTCAAGTAGTAAAGTGCCTGCCTAGCAAACATAAGACCCTGAGTTCAAACCCCAGTACTGCCAAAAAAAAAAAAAAGAGGAAAACATAAATAATAAAGGAGAGAGAACTTCCAAGCCCATGGAGAATCTCAGAACAAAAACAAAACAAAACAACAACAACAAAAAAACTAAAGAACTCATGAGTTTGCAGGGTGATTTGTTCCCAAAGAGCCAGGAATGACTTCCCAGGCCCCTGTGATAGGCAGAATAGTAAGATTTCCTCTAAGAGCCACACTCCCTGGTATACACAAAACTGCATGATTCCTGGGACGATAAATGTGAATTTTACTCCTATGATTGTGTCATGTTAAATGACACAAATGACTCTAAAACTGGGAGAGGGCTAGGGTGTAGCTCAGTGGTGAAGGAAGTGTAGGGGAATGGTGAACAAAGGAGGGAAGAAATAAAGGAAAGGAGGGAGGGAGGGGAAGAGAGAGAGAAGAAAGGAATCTTGAGTGATTCTGACCCAATCAGATAAACTCTTAAAAGGACCTGAGCTCTTACTGAAGTTACAGATTCCTAACACAGGAAGAATCAACCCAAGGGAGATTCTCCATTTCTGCCTTTGAGACTAGAGTAGAGCGCATGTCAATGAATATGGGCAACCTTGAGGACCTAAGAGAGCCCCCAAACCCTGGCAGTCAGCAAGAAAACAGAGACCTCAGTCCTACAACTACAATGAGCTTGGAAGAGGACTCTGCTCAGCAGCACCTTGATTTCAGGTTGTGGGTCCCTGAGCTGAAAACCAGTCATGCCATGCCCACATTTCTGACCTATGGAACTGTGAGCTATTAAAAATGTGTGTTTGAGGTTGCTAAATGTGTGGCAATGTGTTAGGTAGCAAAGAAGACTAATATAGCCCTCAAAGCCCATCCCTTCCCAGGCTAAAATTTATAATTAGTGGCTGGGCACAGTGGCTCACACCTGTAATCCTATCTACACAAGAGTCTTAGGTAGGAGGATGGTGGTCCAAGACCTGTCCCAGACAAAAATATGAGACCCTACCTGAAAAACAACCTAAAGTAAAAAAGACTGGGAACATGGCTCAAGTGGTAGAACACCTGCCTAGCAAGTTCAAGGCCTTGAGATCAAATACCTCCACCAAAAAAAAAAATTACAGTTGGTACAGTTGGTAGAGGAATTGGCATAGAAAAGTACCATAAGGAATGGGCTTAAGGACCTGCTGAAAAAGAACCTAAAGATGGAGGAGCAAGTAATGGACAGAGAGAAAAGTTCGATTCAGGCCAGAAGCCAGGTAGAGCCTTCTAGGTCCAAGTTTCTGCTTCAGAGACTCGATCTCCAGAACTGATCTGGAGCTAGAGCCCTGAACTGGTCTTGGCCAATATCCGTGTAGGTCAGATAAGAGGTGGCAAAAGAGCTAACACCATCCCTGGGGCAAGTGGCCCAGGAGATAGGGAACTGGGCCGTTGCTCTGTGAAATCAGTCCTGACAACAGCTCCTCTAACATTTCCCCATTTAGGTGCCACAACAATTGACACAGAGCACAGTGATGGACATCTGGAGCTGGAATGGCCCTTAGAGATAATCCAATCTAGTCGCCATGTCTCCGATGTGGAAGAATACCCTGGACTAGACCCAGATATCCTGATTCCCAGTTCAGCGTTCTTCCTGCTCCCTCATGAGGTCTCTCCCTCTTTCGCCTCCAGAGAGGTGTTCTCTCAGAAGCTGAACACTCAGCAGGAGTGTTAGGACTCCTAACAAACTGTTAGGAGACAAACAGTTAGGACTGTTTGCAGTCAATGTCTTTCCCTGAAACACCTCCCACCTTCAATATATCCCCAGTTCATCCACTTCTGCCCATTTCAGCTGCCACTTTCTGGCACAAGGCAGCGTGTTTGATAAATAAATCAAAACCGATTGTCCCTATGCTTCCCATTCAGAGTCTTCCTGTGCACCAGC